TGTAGATCATATATCTTTAAAGTCTGTCCAGATTCCTGACTTAAATCTGATGCAGAATCTGGGGGAGAGCTGGAGATTAGGGTTATGGTAAGGAGGCCATTCAGCTTCATAAACTTAGAACTCATCAACAAAGATAAATTAACAAAATACCAAAGGAAACAAACAAAAAAACTGATCAGCTCATCTGCAGTAGTAAAGTTAGATCTCCAGATCTTCCAGTGACTCAGCTCTACATGCTTCTTCAGGTAGATTTCCCATTGTCTGGTCAACCTGCTTTGTTTCTATAATAGGTTAAAGTGGGGAAGCATTAGAAAAAACTAACACCAAAAGACACTTTGTCTACCAGCCTCAGAAAACAACACTTTCCCTTTTTCCTCCCTTTGTCTCCATACCTCCTACATACACCAAGTTTTTAGCATAAAGCTCCCCCCCACTTCTGGCTTTTAACAATACTTCATCTCTTTGCACCAGCCCACATGTCAGAATACCACAGATGGACTTCTTGAGATTTTTCCCATTATCTGGCTCTCTCCCTGTCTCAAACACCCTCTCCTCTCTGTCCATCTCTTCTGTTTTTTTCTTCTTCCTACGTCACTTCCTCATCAGACCTTCCATTCTGCCCTCCATTCATCTCCCAAACGGATGACCTCACCCAGCACCCACATGGTGACTTCATCGGACAGCAGCTGCGGTCAAGGCTACAGATCTGGGTGTTGGTGGAGAAGACAATTAATGCTGCCACCGCGTCTGGCTGATATCTTCCAGATAATGACAAAATAGAAACCAAGACAGTCTGGCATATTTGATTCAGCATTTGCCACCGGTATAATATTAGGATTACCTATTTTGTGGAAAATGAAAGTGGTGTCATTGTTTATGGCCACTTGAGTCATAGCAGGGAGACGCTCCTCTATCAGAGCATTCTCTCTTGGCAATGATTTGTCTAAGTCTGGTTTCAGCTACAAAATTTTTTACCTGGGATGTTGAATTTCTCCTGTCTGAATAAAAGATGGAGAGGTTTAAAAAACACAAAACTGTATTTAATGGATTCTTTTTCAATTACAAACTTCTTGCTGGTTCTTTAATGATTTCCCTCCTTACTCACTCCCTCTACCTGAACCAATCACATATTAACCTTGGTGCCAATAGATACCTGCATAGTCAAATTTTACACCAAATGCAAATGCTGCCTCCCTATTAACTGCCCATGCATCAAAGCAAAAGAAATTCCCACTGGGGCAACTGACAGTACATTCTTTGAGTCATATCACACATGTAAACATCTGTCAATGCACAGACACACTGATTTAAGACCAGTTTATGAGCAGAGCAGCTAAACTTATACTCAGCTTCCATCAAGGTTCAAGGTCCACCTGTTTTTAATGCGTTGTCTTGGATTCATTCAGATTAAAGATTAAAGCTTTGAATGCCACTTCCTCTGTTTGTTTGTTTTTATGTTCGTTTGTTTTTTCTTCATTGCAAAGGCACCTATTTTACAAGAGAACTACAGCTATCTTGCTTGCTTTTTCCTAGGTGCTTCTGTTCTTGGAGATCAAGGCTAATTTATGAATATTTGTGGTGTAAGAGTGAACCTTTCCATCTTCATTAAAGGGTTAACTGTGAAACAGTTTTAACTGAGATTTAAAACATGATAAAAAAAAAAAGAGCAGAATGGGAAGCCCTTGAAGTCAGCACCCCTGAATGTTCAGCATAATGCATTTAATCAGTGAGCTACACAATCACACACAATAAGGTGAGAAAATATATAAATGTTCAGGACTCTTCCTCTGATGTCTACTATCGCTGCTGTTTAATCAATTCATTTCTTTTTTCAAATGTAGATCAAACTCTATTTCTCATCTGCCCCTGAGAGTCAATGCAATGGGTGATTTTTTTTTATGTGCATTTATAAAGAGTTAAGGTGTTTCGTGTTTCAAAATACCCACTGATGCGTTTGACCTGGTTTTGAAAGTAAAATTTCCTTTAAAGTAGTTAAGACACAATAGACAAATACAAGTTGGCGTGATTATGATTTATTATAAAGGACATCATTAAATTACTCCTTCAGTCAGTCCTATTTTAAGCAGAAGTTTAGACTTCAATCATCCACAAAAACAATCATGGACAAGGGTTGCAGGTAACTGGATTTGAATTCTACTGACTTTGTGCAACGAACCGGAGATAACTTTTAGGTAACATGATTTCATGATAAAATAAACTGGATTGTATTGGTTGGATTATCGTGACCTCACTTTCAAATAGATTGCCTGTTTAGATCCTGTTTCTTAGCTTGAAGGTCAACAGTACAGTTCTACATGCTCAGGCGGTCCCATGGGGAAGCTGGTCAAGAGGCTCATTTAAAGGATATTAGATTTCAGGTGGTCTAAATCTATGCAGAGGGTCTCTGTGGTTACAGAGCTCCAGATGCTGAGGATCTCCTGGTATCCTAAGACTATTTTTTGTCTTTGTGTTATAGCTTGTGGTGAAGCTATCCCTTTTTTATATGAAATTCAATATTTGCTTTTCATTGATCTACTAAAGATTTTTAAGACTGTTGACAATAAATTTCAATTGGTTTTACTGGACATTATTGTTTGCCAAAGCTTATGAAAATAGATGCTGCCATCTGCTGGACTTTAGTCTGAATTAAATCTGTGCAGGTTTGAGCCTAGTGTTCAAAATAGATTTTTTATTATCAATATTTTATGAGAAAATTGACCCTTTTTCCTCCTAACTTTAAACCCTGAGTTTATAAGGAGGACATCCCGACTCTATTCAGGAAGTAGGAGAGGGATAAAGGTTTTCTAGCTATAAATACTGACAGCTGGGAGCCATGAATGCAGATACAATCAAAAGTTTTGGTTTGTTTTTTGTTTTTATTTGTTTTTGTTTTTTTTTGTTTTTTTTTGGTTACCTTTTTTTCATGGTGCAGTAACAGCTGGCTGCAAAGTGTTTTGATTTATTAATTAAGTAACAAGTAAATTTATGCTAAACACCATAAATTTAAATTAAACATTTTTGGGGATAGACCAGTATATCCCCCCTCTAAACAAAATCTTTAAATTTCATACATCAAGAACATTTTAGGATTAGTATATTTGACAACCTTGACACATCTCCTTCCTGTATAGAGTATTTTAGTTTTTAGTTTAGAATATTTTAGCAGTACAATCTGAATTCTAACCTCAGATTCTCCATTTATGCCTGTCACACTTCATACTGTATACTTAAATCTTTCCTCTTTAAATAATTGTATCATCATACAAAAATAATCTGAGTAAAGCACTTTTAAGAAATAATTTCATTAAATAAAGGGAAAATATGATCTACCAAAACATGGTAATATGAGAGAATTAGGTAGGCACGAACAAACCCTACATGTTAAAAAAAATGAATTGATAATGGTTACCCATATTCAATTTAAATTTAAATACTTTATGGACGCTAAAGGAAAATTTCATATTGTTGTAACTCATGGGTAGTTTTCCAATGAGAAATTATAGATAGCTGTGGGCAGAAAGGATCTTCTGTATCAATCGGTCTTGCACCGGATCTGGAGAAGCCTCCTACTGCAGACATTGATGTTCTTTAACTATTTTATGAAGAGGAGGGTTTGATCACACCACCAGCTCCCATGTCGAAGTACTGCCTAGGCAAGGAGTAACCAATTTTTTAAATTATAATCCATTACTTTAAACAGCATTTAACACTGAAATAAAATTAGGTGTTTATGCATCCATGTTATACATTTAATTTTTAAATAAAAAATATTTAAAAATACGTTTTTCCATTTTTAAATCTAAATTGTTTTTAAGGTATAGAACAGCAATCTTTCAGTTTGGTATATAGACCATTTCCTTAATAATTTCTTTTTTTATAAAACTTTTTTTGTTTGTTTTTTCATACCTTAATGAGAGAAGTTGGCTTTAGGCTGACCTGCAGGGCTTTAAACCTGGGTTTGAATAGTGACAAAGCCATTCTCAAGCACATATCAAGGTGCTAATTCGTGACAAACATACTCTAAATGTGCAGGGTCATCTTTGAGCACACCATTTCACTTTCCTTTCACTTGTTCACCACGGTTCTTCCAGGAGTCTACACTTTCTTTCACTTTTTCTCATCGTCTTCTCCCTCTTTCCCATCACCCATCTTGCCACAGGTTTGCCTGCTGCGTCTAAAAGTAGCTCGCATCAGCAGCCCTGACTGACACAGCTCATTGGCTAATTTGTATCACGTGTAGTCTGGGGTCGGACACTCTGGATGGCTTTACCATACAAATAGGATATAAGTGACGTTTAGACACTGTTGTCGGACAACATGCGGTAATTTATAAATGTTTTAAATCAGGTTGGATCCAGATTAGCCAGCAGGTGGGTCCAGATCTGGACCCTGGTCCGTTAATCCGTGACCTCTGCCCTAGGCTATTAGATCAACAAAATCTGACAACATGAAGTAGGCTAAGACAGAAACAGGTGATGCCCTGATCTTGTGAAACAAAGTCATCTACCCATCTTAAAAAAGGTAACAAAGTAACTTATTAGATTTTGAGTCAGTAGACCAGGTCTCAGGACTGGTAGTATCTTTATGTGTGATATTTATGTAACATACTAGACTCCGATATGAGCCCATTATCAGAGCTGGTCTGTATACCAGTCTGGATTTTGTTCAGCCTTGTACAGCAAGAGGGAACATCGAAACTATGCAGGCTATCAGCCCTCAGGGGTTTCTTTAAGTAAATTGCTCTGGAGCATAAATTACCAAAGTTGGGGTCAAGTCTTCTACTACATAAATTAAACTTTAAAAATATGATGATGAGGCATTATTATGTGTTAAATGTAATTAATCAAAATAAACTACACTAAATAAATTGCTCTTTAAGCTGTTTTCATTACTATTAATTTTGTTCTGAAGCATAAACATAATTCATGCTGATGGCAGCTACTGGTATAAAATAACCCCTGCCTGAACTTAGTGCTGAGAGATAACCATTGAATAAGGAATTCAACCTTAAAGTTTATTAGCTCTGCATAGACACAGGTGTTTATTGCATGCTTTTACACATTTTACAAAATTGGGTTTCATAGTTTTAGTAAAAAGACAGGTTTCAGTTTCATTCAATATCCTGTGTCAAAATCTCAGCAGAATCAAAACAGCTGAGTCACAGTGTCTACAAAGATTTGCTCAGACGTGCTGTTTCAGCCATAGCACCATATTTAGGAAGCAGTCGACCTGAGTGTCCACCATGGACAAAGAGTGTCCTTCGTCTGGGAACCACAATAACCTGGAGAGAGGAATGAAACAGCTGAAATATGGATTTGGGCCGTCCAGATGATCGCTATGTTGATCTCGTGTACCTGACGGGCGACCCTCTGCTCTTCAGAACTTTGTAAAGCTCTAGACCCTGATGAGGAGAAACTCTTCGGTCCTTCCCACCCAACATCAGGAGCACTGGGGCTTTGATCTGCAAAAACATCAACACTTCATTCAATAAAAGTCACATTTATTATTTAAGATGGCAATAATTATAATTGAAAATGCTATCGGTTGATAAAAGTTATGTTTTCTTGAGGCTTGAAACTATTGATAAATGAACATTTTCATATAAGATTTAGCACCCCCTACAGGGCACTTTAGGAGGTCAATAAAGTATTTACTTTCAATTTTAATAATAATTTTATTTGGGTCCTATAAATTATTAAAAACACACATAATGATTTTTAACTGTTTAGTTATTCACCTGTATGCCATAACAAATAAGTGTTTTTATGTGGGTATTACCATTGCTGCATACGTGATGGGGGACTTCTGTAACATCACAGCCAGGTTCTCAGCAGTCGGGATGCTGTCGTATGAGAACTGAAAGCCTGCACTTGTGTATCGCCTGTAAGCAGGAAGGAGAAAACCAAATCATGTCAAGTAGATGTTTATGGCGCCTTTTAAAAGTATTCCTACTCCTTTAACTTTTCACCTTTTTCTCTCAAACACCAAATGACTTTATGTCATAGTCCCATGCAAAGCATTGTATGATTGTATGATCCTACAGAGCAATGGAAAAGTATCTCCACAGCCAGATGCAACCACCACCGTGTTGCCCTCTGCTTAGTTTGTGCAGTCCAATTTTCTCCTTGTGTTGCATTTTGGGGAGTGTTGGCCTTGTGGTTAGAGCAGTGCGGTTGTCCTCTGGAAAGGTTGCAAGTATCCCGTTCAATCCCCACAGCCGGCACTTGCTAGCCTGGGTGCCAGTCCGAACTTAGTCCCGCCCACAAGGTTTGAGTTCGGGGAAGTTCGGTCTGGCTCTGCTCCATAGTAGCGCGAGTATTAAAGCCCACTGTCAGGCGATCCAATCAAATTGTCAGGGCGGGCTTTATACGATGATGGACAGATGATCAAGAGTAACGTTATCAACCACGTGACCAAAGCGCGCTTGGGTGACAACAATAATGGCTGCCGCTGGAGATTTTGGGTGAGTAGATTCTGCTATTAGTAGGGATGGGAATCGAAAACCGGTTCCTGTTAAGAACCGGTTCCGTATTTTTCGATTCCATGGCATCGTTTGGCAGCTCGCTGAACGATTCTTTTTTCGATTCCCGCAGCAACAGAGCCTAGCGCGCCGGCTCTGGGGAGCACGACTTACGTCACGTTTTTTACGTACGTTACGCAGCTTACGCAACTTACGCAAGTTACGCAAGTTGGAAGAACTATTCGAGGAGGAAGACAACGAGCTGCGGTCACTTTGTGAATCAAAGCCCCGTCTTTCCTTAGCCCAGAGGGTAGATCAGGAAATCCAGCTCTATAAAAGCTTGCCCTCCATCCCCTGCAGGGATAGCGCCACACTGTGGTGGTGGAACAAGCAAGATGTGCTGCCCTTGCTATCTGGACTGGCTGAAAACTACCTCTGTGTGCAGGCTTCCTCCACCCCATCTGAGAGGGTGTTCTCCACGGCTGGAGACACCTTAAGCCCTGAAAGATCCCGTATCCTTCCAGAAAAAGCAGATATGCTCATCTTTCTGCAAAAGAACTGTTAATTTTCCCTACTACTGTTTTATAATTAGTACTTTTTGTTATTTAAAATAGGTTATAATCCCATCATTTGTTATTAGACATTGTTTGTTATTAAGTTTGTTCTTGTATTCATTTTTCATTTAAACACAGATGTTACTCCAGTTTCACATTTCCTGTGGACATCTTGATCTTGTTGATTTTGTAAGATTGTGCAATAGTTAAGTAAACAAAGTTGATTCTGATAATCAAACTGTTTGTTCTCCTTTTTCCCCCAAATTGGAATCGAAAAAAGAATCGATAAAGAATCGAATCGTTTCATAGAATCGAAAAGGGAATCGGAATCGTGAAAATCTTTTCAATTCCCAACCCTAGCTATTAGGTCTGTTCTAGAAGATATCGACAGCAAATTAATTTTAAAAGAGGAACAGAGAAATGCGATCAAGTCTCATCTTCTTATTTTAGGCGTGAAACTGCACGCTTTGATTTTTGTGGACAACAACTATGCCTCGCTTAAGATACGTCACGCACTCCGTTGCTCTTATTGGTTGTAGGTCTATCCAATTGAGTACAGAGGCATTTTTTTCCTGGTTCGTTCAAAACACGCCCCATAATCACAGCTCTATGGAGCAGTATCAGACTCATATTCTGACTAGAACTGAGTCGGACTATGTCAGGCTAGGCACTTGCAGTCCCAGAGTAACTCCCTTAACCCCCGATCGCTCCCCAGGTGCCGCACAGTTGCAGCTCACTTCTCCCAAAGGGGATGGGTTAAGATGCAGAAGTGAATTTCTCCATTGTGAGATCAATGATGTTCAATTATCGTTATTATTTTACATGAAGGCTAAATTGGTGGGTCTAACATTCCTCAGTTGTGTCCTTTGCATGCTGATTGACCAGCTGTACATGGCAGTTCATTGAACCAGAGCTTCTGCAATCTCTTATGGGATTCATAAAGGATAAATATCCTGTGAACAGATTCTGCCACCTGGGCTGAGGATCCCCTAAGTTCCTGCAGAGCTACAATCAGAGATGGCAAAAGTACTCACTTTCCGTACTTGAGTAAAAGTACAGATACTTGTGTTAAAAAATACTCTGGTAAAAGTGGAAGTACTGATTAAATTTCTTTACTCAAGTAAAAGTAACAAAGTACAGGCTTGTAAATTTACTTAAAGTATAAAAGTAAAAGTAGAAACCACTTTTTTCATGCCGTTGCCTACATTTTAAATGGATGTCTGCCAATAGGACTAGATCTCCGTTGTGTTCATTTTCAATCATCTCGTCGTCCATGCTACTATGCTAACGCCACCGCCACCAAGCTGCAATGATTTGCCGCCAATGAATACCGCCGAATCTGTCGATTCATCTTGTAGTGGTGCGTCAAATGCAACGTAGATTCCCATCCAATTAGATTGAATTTGGTATTGATGACGTGAAAAATAATAACGGTAACTCCATTGAAATGATTCAAAACTAAAGTAACGAGACAATTTTTTAAAATGTAAGGAGTAGAAAGTACAGATATTTGTGTAAAAATGTAAGGAGTAGAAGTAAAAAGTCGCCATAAAAATAAGTAGTAAAGTAAAGTAAAAATATCAGAAAAATCTACTTGAGTACAGTAACAAAGTATTTGTACTTCGTTACTTCCCATCTCTGGCTACAATGGGTCACTCAGCTGTTTTAATGATTCATGTCAATTTAAAACACGTCTTGAGATACAGTTTTAAAATTTTATCCTGTCTTCAACTTCTTTACAACTTTGAAATTGTTCTTAAATATGTTTTTTTATTCACTTATGTTCCCCACAGCTGTCTAGGCTAAGGTGTGAGTAATTTTCTCAATCCCCTGTAAATATTATGTTCAGTGTTTGTCAGAGTTCCTCACCAGTCCACTATGTCACTGGTTCCCAGCAGCGTAGCAGCATTAATGACTGGATTCCTGGCTGCACATGCTCTGTAGAAGTCTGGGTACTGACCAATCAAATGACAGGACAGGAAGCCACCATGGGAACCACCAATCACAGCCAAGCGTTTGGGATCGAGGGTTTTGTCGCTCTGCAGTGCAGCTGTAACGGCCCTCTGAGTAAAAAAAGCCACATCAACTTTATGCTGATAGACTGAAGGGTCTTCCTGACAAAGCCACTATTTATGTACTTAAGGGTCAGGTCATAGTTTTCCATTGGTGGACTTAAAGAGCTAGAAAGGAAATTTGATACCTGCACATCTTTTACATCCTGGCTCCCAATCTGACCAATCAGGGACAAGATGCTGTCCTGGCCGAAGCCTGTGGATCCCCGATAGTTCACTGGATGGAGACAATACAAGGTAGAGCGACATCAGCTGGATAAAAACAGAAACATGGAGGGAGCCAAACCATAAACATGAAAACGCTTTGTTTGAATGTTCAAAGTTTATCATAACTATTAAAATCTGGCAATGATTGTGATATCTGGTATGCCGTGCTCATCAGAAACAAGCACCTTAGCTTAGGCTGATGAAAGATGTGCAAAAACTACAAGTTAACTTTTAAAGAGCAGAGTAAAACAGTTCATTGTAATAAACTCCCGCAAACATATTTGTAAACATTCTAAAATACTTGGGCTCAGGGAATTTCTGCAGAAAAGAAAACGTCTCACCCATTAGCACAGCAAAGCCCAGTTCAACCAGTCCAGCTGAAGTGCTGTTCCACTCTGCAGGGAACTGGGAGTGAGGACCACCTAAACGACAAAACCATTAGTAATTGCTTGGGCATCTATATGTGCTACAAAAACATCCAAACCCGAGGTGCAGACCATGAATAGAGACGACCAGAGGCGTTTTGCTTTCACAGGCGGGACGAGATGGTTTCACCAAGACGGCCCCAAAATCTAAACCAGCTGTTCCGAAAGAGAAGAATGGAAATTCTGTTGATTCCGAACCTTTACAGAAATACACAAATGGCAAAACATTCAAAGCATTTTCACTGTTATTATCAAGTATTGTTTCCAGAGTTCGAATGCAGATATTTACATATAGTGCATAAAAAGCGCTTCCTGCCACAAACGGCACCATGATGCCACCTCCTCCATGTTTCAGAGCAGAAACACAATATCTGGATGATAAGTGCTTCTAAATCCTGCAACTTTCTTCATTTCCAAATCTAACATTTTGGCCAAACTGATTTTAGTTTAATCAGAGCAGAGGACAATCCCTGATTGCATTTTAAAACTGAAATGTTTTTTGTTTTTTTTTACACTGCTTTCAGAGTAATTGTTTCTTCCCCTGCATGTGGCCTTTCAGCACATGTTGGAACTCATTTCACTTTGGATAATCAGACCCTCTGCACTCTTATCAGCTTTAGCAAACATTCTTCACATGGCCTTTTTCTTTTTTTGGCTTTGAGAGTTCAATTCACATGTTTGACAAAAAAGCGGTTCATCCCTGGGTCAAATCCTGTCTCCTTCCTGAACAGCAAAAGGACATTATCACTGTGTTTATAGTTGTGTAATGGTGTTCAAATTCAATTATTTAATATGACATTGAAAAAAAACAGCAAGTTTACCCAAAGTGCTGTTCAAAAATAAGATAGACAGGATAAAACTGGGACATGAAGCATTAAAAAAAACTATTATTAAATAGAATAGAGGCAATAAAAAGCATATATCTACTTTTACCTGGCCAAACAAGAAGTGAAAAATAGGTATATTTATATATATTATCTAAAGTCTATTCGGATGATATGTGCTAATGTCTGTCTGTGCCATAACATTCATTTAATTTCCCTTTATGATTTATAGATGATTTTTAATTGAATTAAATTGAAGTTCTGTTTCCTGCTGTACATATAAATGATGTTCAATTGTTTTTTACTATGACACATTAGTGTCCACTGGGGCTGGGTATTTTCGCCAAAGTCCTGAATCGATTCAATTTTGATTAATACAGTTCTAAATCGATTAAATCTGTTTTTACGATAATGAAAGCTGTTCAGCTGTGTTTCAAAATGCTCTGTATTTACATTTTTCCTGTCACATTAAACACAAAGTGCAAACTTGTCAATCAGACAGTTTAAACTTGAGATGTGAACAAAACTGTCTCATAAGTACAATCTTGTTTGTGAAAAGTGAAAAAGTTAAGCCTCACTCGAGCAAGCGGACACGACACAGTGGGGACACAGTAGACATGTATGAGCTGCTTTATCTTCACTGCACAAACTATATTAGCAGCGTTGTCTGTAACAACTACAGGGTGTTTGCTGGTCAGCCCCCATGTCTTCAGTCAGCTTATTGGCTATAATTGCAGATGCCTGTCTTGAAGTAATCTTGAGTGCATCTTTCCTGCTCATTTGAATGTGAACGTCACACGCGTCACTATAAAACTAAATCGATCTCATTCCCTAGAAATTGATTTTGCAAAAATGTAAAGGAGTCGACTCAAAATCGATTAAATCGATTTTTCTACCCAGCCCTAGTGTCCACCTGATTAAAGCACACATTGATCTAATCATGTGGCAGGAGCTGAATGCTCACGGTAAGTTATGTTGTCCTCCTCTGATGAAGGTGTAACATTCAGGACTGTCCAAAGGTAATCGAAGGTAATGAAAGGTGCTTGCAGGGTTCTCCAGGTCACAGTCTCACAGTCTGCTGATGGAAGGAATCCCACCCTCTGCACACCCAAACACAACACAGAAAAGACCCCAAAATCTCATCCATCTTTTTACAGTTAAACAGTAGCTGACCAGGATCAGGGTGTCTGATTCTGTCTTACCAGTGTGGGAGGAGAGCTGGGGCTGGAGCAGCAGACTACCATCAGATCTCTTTGGACGGTTAGCAGCTTCCAGCTGCCGTAAACCTTAGAGAGATCGGAGAGTTCTGAGAGGCAAGAGAAACAGAGCAGAGGGAAAGAGACAGCGGACATTTTTAAACCAAGCAGTAGGATTCAGAAACTGAAACATTTGAGTATGAAACAACAGCTCAACTACTTTAATTTCCAACTGTATAACTGTGACAACTGAGTGACAGCACTTTATGCTAGTATGGTGTGTTCATGGCTAAAATGAAATGATAACTACAATCTCTGATCTTTACAGAGTTAGAATTTGGGAGGCAGAATGACCACTGAAGATGATCACAAAACTGAGTAACTAAAAAAAACTGAAAAAACATGAAGGAACTAGTGAGAGGAACTGGACTGACTCCAGGATTAAAGTTTTTTTGTTTATTTAGGCCAATACAACCTCTCTGTGTCCTGACACGTGCTTTAAACAGGCAGTCTCTTAAAATGAAATTAAAGGCTAATACACACTTGGGCTTCCTCCCCCATAACTCTGTGCAGCGCATTTTAGCACAACCACAGGTTAACCCGAAAGTTGTCGAAATTAGACTAAACTCATGCGGATACGTTGAAATCGTTGAAACAGCCATGGAAATTTAATTTCAAATACATTTACTTCCTTATTTGCAGATATACAAGAGAAAAGTGCAGTGAAAATGTGAATCCTGCACCCTTCAGACTCGGCCATCAACTCAGCAACTGTTTATGGCCAAAACCTTGGTGTCATGATGGATTCAGACCTGAACCTTTAGAGGCTCATAAAGGCAGTTACTAGGTCAGCCTTTTATCACCTGAAGAACATTTCCAGGATCTACAAATACTAATTTATGCATTTATCTTTACTAGAATTGATTACTGCAAGTGTCTTAATAGGTTTGCCTAAAATGCCCATCAGACAGCTGCAGCTGATTCAAAACGCTGCTGCCCGTGTTCTCACTAGAACTAAGAAAGTAGAGCAGATCAGCCTGGTTCTGAAGTCCTTCCATGGGCTCCCTGTAGATCAGAGACTTTAAAATCCTTCATTTAGTCTATAAATCACTGAATGGATCAGAAGCTCAATACAGAACAGATTTGTTGTCAGTGTATCACCATCCCAGACCACTCAGGTCTGCTAGTTCCAGCCTACTCTGTCCACCCAGAATTAGAACCAAACATGGAGGAGCAACATTTAGTTCCTATGCTCCACTTATCTGAAACAAACACCCAGAGATTGTAAAAGTGCTAAAAGCCTGTGTTCTTTTAAGTCAAAGTTAAAAAGAAACTAGTTTAGCACTGTCTTTTACTGTCGAAGTTAAACTGCTAACTGAGGTATTATTAGTTAATGGTTCTGGTCCAATTGTTTTGTTAGTTTTACTACCTGCTTTTATCATGTTTTTATCCTTACTTGCTTTTATTTTCTTCTATTTTATTGTTTAATTCACATAAAGCACCTAGAATTGTCCTCATACTGAATTGTGCTATGCAAATAAACTTGCCTTGCCTTACTTCAAATATATGTGCAACTTTGTATGACTTTATCATGTAATATCTTAAAAATATACTAAGGTTTGTAGCTGCAAAGTGAAAAAACATGGAAAGATTTAAGGGGTTTGAATACTTTTTATTGTATGTTTGTAATACGCATAGATCAACAAGAGATCACAGCATAGGGCTTTTATTAAGATCAAAATGATTTTTTTGTTGTTAGTTTTTTGGGGGGCTTTGTCTTGCCATACCTTCCAGCTCTCTCTGGTGTTCGTGACGAAGATGAGATGATGAGGCAAGAGGAGGGTTCGGAAAGTAAGACTCAGCAGGAAGAGGGGGAGCTGAATTTAGGACAAAGTGAGAAGGAGGAGGTGGAAGGTCAGGAGACAGCGGAGTCGGTGGAGGAGGAGGTGAATAAAAAGACCAATAAGGGGATGAAGGGGAAGGAAGGAAAGGAGTGGGAGGCAAGGAAGGAGGAGGGGGGAAAATAAAAGAAGGAGAGTAGGTGGGGAGTGGAGGAGGGGGAGGAGGGGACGGACTCTTACTATCGGAGAGGGAAGTGACTTTCTTTGTTCTTCTGTCCACCATGAAGACATCCTAACAGAGGAGAGATGAGCAAAGTGACAGATGGCCCAAACTCAAACAAAGCTAGATTTAATTGCAGAGAAATATGAGTAGCAACGTTTTAGCCGTAGATGAGCTCTGATAGTTACCTTCCAGTTTCTAACGGCGCTGCTAAACACAACCTTCTGACCATCAGCAGACCAGCAGTGCGAAGGCAGAGCTTCATACACTCCTGCAAACTCACCTGAAACCATCAAACCATTTATCCCATTAAATGTGGCACAGTAAGTGAGTCACTGTGTCATAAATGACCTTTAACCTACCATCCTGGGGCCTGCTGACAACGTCCAGCATGGTCGAGGTCTTCCAGCTCTTCAGGTCCAACTGTGCAGGGTTAACATTTAAATGTTAACAGATGGAAAATATGCAGAGAGGGCTAAACAAAATACACAGCATACCTGCTGCACACTGTGGCACTGGTTGTGAGGCCCAAACACTTTGCCCTGAAGGTAGATCAACGTGGAGCCATCTGGACTCAGCCTGGGACAGGACACTGAGACATTGTCCTCTGATATGCATTCTGGGACAGTAGAGAGGAAGGTGTACAGCAGGGATGACAAGAGCCTGATCCCATTAGATTAATGGAGACACAGAGGTAGAGGTCTCACCACAGCGCCCGTCCAGGCTGAGTCTGAAGAGAGCCGACCTGAAACATGAGCGAGAAAGAAAAAGGAAGCAATGGTGAGACGATTTTATATCTGAGGGGCTATTAGAGGCTGCAGCCATAATATAAACCTTTTATCCAAAATATTGGACCAAAAACAGTCAGACTTAAACATTTTCATACACGAAAAGAGCATATTCTGATTAATGTTTATAAATCAGAAAATACCTTTTGATTGATTTCAAAAGTACAGTTTTCCTACATTTAACTTCGCTGCCATTTTAATCACCTAATCTAACAATAATATAGATCAGAGAGGGTTGCAATCAAAAAACTCATCATGTCTCTTTTTTTTCTCAATACCATAACTGCTGTTCTTAGGAGGAAAAATTGAAGAAAAAAAAAGAAAAAAAGAGGATGTTTAAGCAGGCATCAGCTGCAGGCCTCAAAGAGGCTGAATACAATGAGAGCCATGAAATCTGACTTGGGTAAAACAAAGATAATCCATTGCAATGACTGGATCTATTAAAGCATAACACCTGAATTATTACAGCCTCCACCATTGTTTAAACATCCCGATTATAAGCCTGGTTCTATATACTGAGCATTTCTACCTGAATGTGCAGTGCTTTTTTCCCAAGCTTCTAAAATAACAAAAAATAATAAGACAAAACAAGCATTATGCATATAAGAGTAACAAGGTTCAAATCTGTACAGGATCCTTTGAAATCGGCAAAAGATTTGGTTGATGTGTCTGCGAACCAGAGCAGTTCTAGAGCAACATTTTAAGTTGTCTATTTGAGTAGGAAAAGAACTTTAAAAAAAATCATCAGGGTTTTACAAATCAAACGATGTTCACCGATATGGGTCGCTTGGCTTCAAAAAGCTGCATGTTATGGGACAGATGGAGGAAACTCTCCAGATTTTTTTTTGTATTAAATGAGAAAAGTGGAATAAAACTGTGTGAAATCTAAGCACAGCTGTCCATAACCTGAAGGCTAGGTCAATCACATAAAGACCCAGAAAAAAATAGGTCACCAACAAGACCTTAAGATTTCAGAGAAATATGGCTGAGTCAGCAGACTTCTGTGGGTTCTCATCTAATGATTACGACTAATATCAAAGAAAGTTTTTTTAAAAATTTTATTCCTTTGTTCCCAGCCGTCCTCCAGCCTTCACTTCAACAATTGAAATCCAAACAAGTAATTTTTTCTTAAAATTAGTTCATTTTTCTTGATTTGAGGAGGTAAGCGAGACACTTCGCCAATGGAACAAAACAATTTACATTTAAAATAAGAAAAAAACAATTGCAGTTTGTTATTTCAAGTGCATATTATCTAATCATCTTATTTTAACAGTAAAAATACTAATTCCATTGGCAAATCAACTAATTTACCTGCTCAAATTAATGGTAAATACACTTAATTTAACACATTTTACTTATTTCTACATCGTTTTTGCAGCCTGCAGTTTGACCATCCAATCATGTTTAAACATTAAATATTTAAAAAGAAGTACTGACAGGCTTGGTTATTAAGAAGTAACAAGTTTATTTTACATTTCTGCTTCCATTTGTCACCCTGCTTTATGCTAAGTGAGCAAAGAAGAGTGTGAAACCTGCGGTTGGAGCAGAACTTCAGTCCAAGTCTGAAAGGTTCGTGGTACCATCCCACAAAGAAGACAGAGTGAGCGCCGGGAGCCCACAGAGCCTGGAGAGACAATAGCCAACATTAGCCAGAAACCATCAAGTTTAAAGGATGAAAAGGATCACTGATGAAGGTCTGGGGTTACCTGTCCAGGTGAGACGTCTGGTGGGACGCCCTGCAGAACTCCGACTGCACCACGAAGCAAATCCACCACACAGAGCACTGGGACGCTCTTACTGGTTAGAGCCTCGCCCCAGTCCTCACAGTACACACTCCTGTCCTGTTTGGGTACAAAAAAGGTCTCCATACAATAAGCCGGTAATCAAATTATTTCTCTATATTAATATTTCTTCACCTTTCTGCTGGTGGATTCTCCAGGTTCTCCTGATGAGCTCCTGCTGCCCTCAGCTACGTACAGCAGCTTGGTCTCACATTCCGACCAGGACAGGCTTCCGAACTGAGCTGGAAACACAAACAAAAAACATGAGAGAGACATGAAGAGCATGTTCATGTACCAGCCTCCCTGATGATACTCAGTCGGATCTCTTACCATCATCATACACTCTGCCATGGTTGTTCAGGGCGGACAGGTTGAGGCATTTCCTGAGGCCATGATGGTCCCAGATCTGAACACAGACAACCACAAACAGCAGACCGGTAGGAATGCTAAAGCTTTGAACTCATCGGGAACTAATGAGGTCCATAATTCTCACCTCTAGGAGCTGCTGGCTGCCCGTCTCCCTGACAACAGCCCTCAGGCCTTGATTAGGCGAAATGTCACTCAACAACCTGAAGAACAAGAACAGAAGATAAAACCTTAATGCGATTCATATAATTTGCTCATATTTGAGATTTTCATTAAAACAAGGAGAGCATGTTAGTCAATATCACTTTTACCAAAAATACTTGCTTAATCAGATCTATCAAAATACATTACTTTTATGGAAAAGGCTAGATCTGCTCAGCCTGACAAAAAAGTCTCAAACAAGCTAATCAAGCGATCAGGCTCATGATAAAGTTTTAAGTTTAAATCTTTCTATCAGATGTACATCTAATGGTACTTAAAAGGGTTAAATTCTGGGTGACTCACTCTCCAGACACTGGTGCACATGGTCCAGGTGGGAGGATGGTCCTGATGCTCCGGTGGTTGTTGCTGTCGGCAATCAGAGTCCACTGCTGCGAGAAGCGAAATCTGGAGCATCGGACCAGGTCACTCTGAATCCACTCTGCATGTGGGTACAGTCAAAGGGAGGGATTCACTTTAAAGGTTATCATTTTATTTTGCACAAATGCATGATTCCAGTCCTCTATAATATTTATCTGAGGTAATTTGGTAAACAGGATATTTTAGTCAGATCTACAAAGATCTTCAGCTACCAAAAGACACAAAATTAAGGGAGTGTTTCTGTGCAGCTCAGCTCAGACATGTCATATGGTGCACACCAGACTAGACTACTATACTACCAGACTACTAAGGGGAAAGATCTGAAGAAAAAATTTGGAGGATACCCAATTCGAAGTGTTATAGGGGATGAAGATGGAGATGAGAAGATCAAGAAATATATGGATCCAATTACAGTGTTTACAATGGAATTGTAGTTCAAAACATTAACACAGGATATGGAAAGAAATAAAATGCTCAGGTGGTAGCATATGATAGTGATTTCAAACCAGCAATGTATGATAAACCGTTCAAACAATGAATAAACAAGGGGTTCACAGGATGGTATATCCTTCAGAAAGACAGGGAGCTGGAGAGATTTCTAAAATTGAAGGAGAAATATAATTTAGATGAACAGGATTTTTACAGAAATTGAGATACTATTATAAGACAGAAATCAGGTGGGATCCCTCTGTGGAAGTGAATAAGTTGATTGAAATTGTGATAAATTCATTCAGTGGAACAAAAATTTAAGTAATCTCTACTTTACATCAAAAATCGATGATGAATAAACATTAAACTAAGTATATAAAAGAAAAGTGGAAATCAGAGCTTAACATGAGTATTTCAGATGCAGATTGGCTGGATATGTGGAAAACACATCAGACATTTACCAATTCACGGATATGAAGGAAGTTCAAATGGAAAAATATAATACAATTTTTCATCGCGCCTAAAGTCAAGAATAGATATATATACACAAACATGGGGTGCTGGTGTAATTGTGAATCAATGAGTGCCGATCGTTCTCAAGTATTTTGGAACTGTTCTAAAATTGTTCAATTTTGGAAAAATGTAAATGAAACCGAATAAGTTTCTGGGATATGATATTCCTAATAATATCTAATAAACTAACTACTAATAAACAGTCAAATTAATTCCCCACCTGCAGCACCCCTCCTTTGCTGAGTGTGTCTTGCTAATTGCTAATGATTTCACTTGTCAATTCCATTTACACAACAGCATGTGAAATTGTTTGTCAATCAGTTTTACTTCCTAAGCAGACAGTTTGATTTCACAGAAGTTTGATTTGATTGAAGTTGCATCGTGGCGTTTATATTTTGAGCAGTGTATTTCTCCTCTTACCCTAAATAAATCACTTGGACAACTACATATATTGCTATACTCAGATTATTTTTGCCATACATTTGAATTTGTAACAGGATGTGATGTATATTTTGTTTTCTTCTCATTAAAAAACAACAAAGCATACAGTATGCATACATCAGCTCTCTCTGATCATTCCTTTTTCTAAAAACAGATTTTATTTTATTTGTTGTCCAGGAGGCTACAGTGTCATCTTAAATGTTTGTAGATTGTCTTCATGTAAGTTAAGAGAAAAGTGCTATATGAAAATACCCAGGGCGGTTTTTGTTGGGTTTAAAATCCTGAAGATAAGGAAATGAAGCCAGGTTTAGAGGCAATAATGTGAGTTTGGTCATATTGTGACTGCAGCTGAAATCCTTACAGGACAAAATAGATCATGGGAAAGAAAGTAAGTACAAAACTTTTTTTTTTCTGGGATGTAAAACCATTATAACTCACCATTTGGAATTAACTGTTTATCTTTTGCAAACATTGAGAATCCAACATGCAATTTTTGTTTGTTTAAATAGACCACATTCATGTAAAAAAAATTGATTGGCACAACGTTATATTTATTATAATTGGAAAAATTATATAATTTAGAGAAAGGTATTTTTTTTTTTATTGTAAGCTTTTTATTATTACATCTTTCTTTTTATTTAGTCTAAAAAGCTTCCAAATAATATATATATAAGTTATTTTCATTGTTAGTGAGCAGTTATCTTGAAGAAACACATTTTATTATCATTAACTTTGTCTTTTAGTACCATGTAGTTTCAATTTGCTAATTTAAAGTAATGTTGACCAACAGCAGAAGGAGGCTAACAGCAGTTAGCTCACCTGCTGTCACCGTGTAGATCCGGGCTTCCGGCTGCTGCTCCTCGCGCACATGAGCTGCAACAGGAACAGGGAGGCCGCTGACCTTTCCGAACACCCCGGTGATTTGGTCGGAGTCCATCAGAGTATCCTGCAGCAAAAACGGCTACAAACAACCAGGATATGCTAACAAACCTGATGACACAATCGCTGCATTTAAGTGTTTCTTCTCAGGCGCAGCTGCCGACGGATCTCTTTTACACCAAAAGTTAATCACATCGCTCGATCGTTGGCCTTAACGTATCCTATACACGCGCTTAAACACCTGCATACCTGAACCGTTATTAAACCTGCTCCTCCATGTTGAATTGATCAGAAGACGATGGCACCTGAACTACAACCAAGTGTAGTTGTAAAGAGTGGCCGCAAGGGGACAGCAGAGACAAGCTCATATAAATATATGTATATATATATATATATATATATATTTTTTTTTTTTTTCATTGGGGAAAAATGTTCAGTTATCCTAAAATTGTATTTAACAAAGGCAATTAGACAGAACAAGGATCCATATGCATTTTGCCATCAAGATCAGTGACAAAGTAATAAACGGTGTAACAAAAAATAAAATGGGGGAAATAGACATCTGGGTGTCTATAGCTTTTCATAATGACTAAAAGCAATCTATATACCAGCTTTTTGCTTAATTGAGTTTACTTATAAGTCAACTTCTGAAGTCAAATATATTACATTATTTTAATAGAGTGGAATAAGTTAAAACAATCTACATGTTCAGCTATTTTCATTTCATTTGATTTCCACCAATGCTGAAGGACAAATTGGACTACTGAGTTTGAGAAAAAAATAAATTTGCAGCTTTAACGGTCATTTACTTAAAAAGATTATCCAGTTAAATGGATTTTAAATGTGAACAGTATCATAATTTAAAAAAACAACAGAGCCACGCTTTTAGATAAGCAGCCTTGTTTGCATTTACTGTTATTTACTGTAGAGGATAACATGATTTATTTCATCTCATATACAAACCTCTCCATAAATCAATGTGCTTTGTATACCTGTTATACATAGATGTAAATATTTAATGACCTAGCAACCTTCATTAAAAAATGCATTGGATAAGAAAAATATCTTTAACCATAATTGTGTCTGTAAACAATGATTTCAAGTTCCTTAAAAGACACTTATTACAGCTCTTGTAACAAATTAAACAGTAAAATACAATGGTTCACCCAGAAAAGCTCAAACTAAATTCTTTTCCAAAAGCAAAAACAATACAAAAATGACAATATTAATGTTTTGTTTCCCGCTTTTTAATTAGGCATCTTCTGGATTCATATTTCAAGTGTTTTATTTTATGGATAAATTAATGTCAGATAAAACACACTCACACACAAATACCACACACGTTTTTCCCAAAGGTTGCATTGTTTGTAAAAGTTGAGTTGTTTGGCCACCAAAGAAGCCACTTTGGGACTTTCAGTGGAACGTTGGAGGAAATCAGACTTCCGATACAGAAAAGACTACAGCCGAACATTTCCTCAGCTCTTTTCTCTGATTCCTAATAGAAGAATTCAAATTTTTTTACCCTTTTCTGCTACTAGTTTATAAAAAAGGATTTAAATGTTTTTATTAAAAAACCCCTAACTGATCTGGCAAAGAAACTTAAGAGCAGATAGAGCTCTTAGTAGAGCAGTTGAAGAGCACAAGTGAAAGAAAAGCTGAGTCTTGAAGGTCCAAAGGCATCCTAGTTCCTCGTCCATCCCTTCAGTCCGCTCTCCTCCGTCCTTCACATGACGTCAGCGCGTTTGTCCCTGACTTTATTCCTCAGTTTAGTTCTGGCTTTGAAGGCAGCAGAGTTGTATAAATGCTGTTGGATGTAAAAGTAAGGAAATTATTTCTGTCAGAATAACTGGATTTAGTCACCAAAAAGATAACGTTTTCAAAACAACAGTAGTCCAATATCACTAACCTAATCACTTTCCTACTAAACTTCCTTTAAAGGTCTAATCAAGTCTTGAAAAACAGCTTTTGTAACAGAATCATAACCTGTAAGAAAAGTTATGTTTAAAATAAATAATAAAGCCCCTTGCTGAGAAGAGCAGCGTACTTTCAATAAAAGAAGTTGATAGGAAGGAGAAAAATGTTCAAAGATGCCCTAGAAATAATATTACTCAGCTAAAACGATGTCAAAGCTCTAACAGGAAAGGGATTGAAATGGATCTGGCCAATCAGAAGCCCCCTAGTGACCGAAAAAGGTCCATGATTACTTTTGAGCTCTGTGGCAACCAGAAGGCACAGCGATCAGCAGGAAAAATCCCACCTCAAACACATTGTATGCCGAAAGAAAACTGGAGCAATATTTGATGGACTTAAAGTTAAATTATTCTCTTTTTAGGGTCTAGCAGCTGCAGTTTATCAGACGACCTCCAAACCACAGTGCACAGCCAAGCAAGCTGGCTCAGGTGTCATGGTATGGGGATGTTCGTCATACTGTGGTGTCTGTTCAAGGGCTATTTACTTACTCTGCAAGAACATTCAGCTGGATGGAAATAGAAGCTATATGCAGTGGTGTCAGCACTTCTTTAGGCCACACTGCTTTAATCAACACAACTTTTTATGCTTTTAAGATTGGAAAGTAAACTATTCAAAGAAACGAAACGGTGTGTTACCTTCTCTACCCGTGAGATCTTGTTGCCTTTGATAGTAGCAGCATCTAAGATGAGGGGGGGTCCGAGGCCAAAGATGTCTCGGAGGAGCTGGTTGAACTAAAGAGATAAATACAGAGCTTGGTTGAGTGCAAACCGGTGGCATTTCCAACTCAACAAATCCACACAGCAAAGGTAAAGACTTAAAATATTCAAAACATGTTTAAAAAGTACATAAAATTACATGAATCTGTTTGTTTTGGATGTTTTAGGGCAGTTTCATCACAAAAGACTGCTATTTTTTATCATTTTCATTCTATCAGCTTGAATCGTTTAAAGACCTTAAATGTTTAAATATGTGATGTATATAAGATTTAGATCAATTTAAGGGAACATTATCACCAGAATAGATTTACCGAACCACCCATAAATGGTATTCAACAGTAAACCTAATATCCATCAACATAGATCTGTAACCATGCCATCTTCTAAATAACCGAAATGATAGATTCCATTCAGAGTGATTTATTTTTTGTGTTTAGGAAAAAAATAAAAGTCTACTAACAAGCATACATCAATGACCTGACATCCCCTCTCCTCCACAAGCTACCAAACCTGTAGATGGTGTCTGACTCCAGACTCCAGGATCTCCTTGAAGGCGTCGTAGATTCTCTTCCTCATCCAGCCATCGATGTAAACGCTCTCCACCCCAAATCTGATCTTCTCCTCTGTGAAATCCTCGCTCTGTGGAGCAAAAACAGCCCATCAGAAACTAAACAGACAGAAGGAGAGTAAGAAGAACCAGCTGCTACAGGAAACCAACCAAATCAAAGCCTCCAAGGTGAAAAATCAGAGACAAACCTCTATGTAATGCAGCACCTCTCTGAAGATAGACCGCTGTTTCCTTCTGTCGTTTTTGGCTCGGTGTTTGTTGCCATCCGTGGCTAAACTCTTCAGACATTCGCACAGACTCTCACTGTCCTCCACCTCAAACTCCTACAGACACAGTCAGAAGAGCTGAAGCAAACACATTTACAGTACCCTGTTCATCAGGCAATGTGCCTAGCGTCCACTTGAAGGAATAAATATTAATAACTTAATATATAAAATATAACCTAATATATAAAATATAACATTTAAGTGAAATTTTGCATCCATGTTTTTTTTTATATATAATTAACATCAACAAATCACTAAACAATATTCCATACTTTTAATTAGATTTTTTAAACTCTGCTTTAAAAGCTCTTTGTTCACTAATGTCTGTCTTATTTAGGGACATCAAAGTAAATAGTGTGAAAACAAAAACTTAACACACTTTAAACATTTTTTTCTACTAATGTTGGAAAAACTATCATTTTCCTTTTGTTCCATTTCATAAAATACAAAAAAACAGTAATACAAACAGTGTTTGAAGTTAAAAAAAAAAACTTCTGTAAACAATCTAAGGTTCAACAATCTAAATTTCCATTATTTGTCTAGAGTTTTACCATCTCTTGTCAGAGAGCAAGGATTCCTGCAGGTTTACCTCGTCTATGTCTCGTCCCAACTCCACCAGCAGAGCAATCGTCTCCCCCACTGCGATTCTGTAGTTGACATCACTGCTCTGAAGACAGGCCTGCAGCTTAGGAAGGTGCCTACAAACAGCACAACAAATACAGAGGCAGTGTTAACAGTCACTCCCTACTAATAACTCTCTGCAAGAACTTCAGAGTCCAATGCATAACAAACTAAGTCACGTGTCATCAAAGGAAAATTTTGAGATCTCTGCTCAAGATACCAAATTGAAATAATAAAGTCATTAGCAGGATTTTGTAGTTCTTGATGAATATAAAAGCTGCAGGTCTACAGTTGTTAAATGCTGGAGTTTGAAACAAAAGACCAGAACGAGGAAGTTGAGACACAACCTGACATCTCACTAGCATGTCCAGCTAAACAGACTCATGCATGTACTGAATGTCGTTTAGCTCAAGTTTCCAGATGAAAATCTGTTCTTTCATTGAAATAAGATGGACTTTCAGGTTTTGAAGTAAAAGAAAAGCAAAAGATGAGATCTTTGTCACACATTGACTTCCTTTGCACATGTTGCCAGATGGTGAAAAGTGGTTTTAAAGCATTTATCCACACTACAATCAAGAATATATAAAATCCATAAATGATGATGATTTCCTTTTAGTGAACATTCATATCTTTTAAATGGAAATTAAAGGCTGGAGTTCATGTTATTTCATGTTTATTTGTTACCAAAATGTTCATATTACTTCTTATTAGGTGATCAATATCTTTGTTTCCACTCACATTTCCAGCAGCTCAGTCAGTTTGGAAGCGGGACAGAGGGTAACCAACAGCGACCAGGCCTGCAGCGCTGCGGCGTGGAGCCCAGGCATGCCTGGTTTGGGTGTAGGCAGCGTTCCTTCTCTATTAGGGTAGGAGGTTATGAAAACGCTTTCCAGAAGAGCCAATGACTTGACCAAGTCCTGCAACAATTTAGATCAAAATCAAAACACAGAACCCAACAAAATGTGAACCCATAATGAACTGCTGTATTTAATTTTTTATATGTAAAGTAGTTGTGTAAAGGTTCTAGAAGGAACAAAAATAAAATCTCACCTCCCCTTCTTCAGCAGTGGAAACATAGCAGCACATCCCTAAAGCCCTGGCACACTGATGAGACAATGGGGAAAAAATAAATAGGAAAAAAAACAAACAGCAAATATCATTAAAACATGTTTTAGGTAGGGTTTAAATGTA